TCCTTTTCAGGTAGGCTACTAAAGTGAAGAGTGGGTGCTCAGAAATACCTGATTCACACACTCTCCTGAAAATGTGGTTCACTTCACCTGACCCTACTCCAACCCCCTAGCTCCCCACCTGACAGCCACAGGACCCTTTTAGGCTGCCCTTGTCAGACTTCTTCTCTGCTCAGGACCACTCTGGATAGGCAATGTGGTTAGGGTTAGCCTCATACTCCCCCAGTGATAAGCCTGGGTCTTCAGCTTCCAACTGCCCTATGCATTAGCCTAAGTTTTCTGGTAACCACAACTCCCTGATCTCCAGGACCCATTGCTTCACTTTCGTATGACACCCTTAAAGAATGTCTTTCCTGAGAGCCAACTTGAGTCTCTCAGAATCCCATTCTTCTACTCTATCCCTTCCCCATCCCATGGCCCAAACACAGGGCTACAGGCTTGTTTGACTTGGCCAGCATAGATGAATTCAAATGCCTATAGATGGGGCATGTCATTCTTCTCCAGGTGGACAAGCTGTATTTTAAACTTGGTCACACACACTAGTCATATTAACTGCTGCCTCCATAGAAACTTAACTAAGGCCACCTTCCTTTCCCCCAACCACAATCCTTCAGAAATTATTTTGCGGGGACCAGCAGTTAGCGTAATGGCTATGTTGCTGGACTCCCACGTAGCCGACCGCGGTTCGAGTCCCGGACCCGGTGGCTTAAAAAACTCATGCTGGGCATGTGTGCGTGCATGCCCAAGATCCCAAGAGGAGAATGGAGGAGAAGGGATTATGGCATGGCCATCTCCCCTGGGGGGTGATTTCTCACTTTCTGTCTCTCTGTCTCTCTCTCTGTCTGGCGAGCACACGCGCCCTATAGCAAAAACCTCTCAAAAAAAAAAATTATTTTGTGAAATTTCTTGGAGTGAATGTAGGATGGGTGGGCGTCTAAATCATGTCTCCCAGCATAACAGGAAAATGGACAAGGTTTGTCAGATGGGAATCAGCAGGGTAACATGTCAAGCAGTAATGAAAATACTTTTAGGAAACCAGAACAAGTTAACAGAATAGTGATCAATGTTTCTGAGCCATAAAAGGGCTCATGATTTACATTGGAATCTTCTAGGTAATCTAGAAAACATGGTCATCAGAGTTAACAGGGCCCTAAAAATGTTCCCTTATTTAAGTGGAGCCATGGGGAGAGTAGAACAGAAAGATAATTTATAGTCTGTGGGCATTTAGAAATCTTCAACTGTGTTGCAACTGCTGGAGTTCTTCGGGCTCCTTCCAGTTGGAATGGAGTCCACTTACTCCCCGGTCCCATTGTTTCTTTCCACAAGGAGTGAGAAGCCTCTTTCCTTCCGCTTTGGAGACTGAGCATGATCTTGCCCTTTGCCTTCCCTTTGAGCTCAATTTCTGCTCTTTTTCTCGCTGCAGAGAGTTTAGGACAGTAGGCCCTGCTACTACACTGGAGGACTGTCTTGGTCCAGTGCTGCCTAAGACTAGGCATTGTGGAAATTAAGAGTGCAAATGACAGCTTTTTTTTTTTTTTTTTTTTTTTTAGTTTTTGCCATAAGGTAAGTATACTCACTGGAGAGAGACAGAGAGAAAGGGAAAGTGAGAGATACCACATACAGCCCCCCCAGGGGGACAGCACACCACAATTCATTCTCCTCCATTCTCCTCCTGAGATTTTAGGCACATACATCTGATGTGTTTTTCAAGCTGACAGGTCTGGGAATCCAACTATGCGCTTACCAGAGAGATAGAGAGAAAGAAAGTGAGAAATCACCCCTCAGGGGAGATTGTCACAGTGAAATCCCTTCTCCTACATTCTCCTCTGAGGACTTCGGGCGTGCCCACACACATGCCCAGCATGAATTTCAAGCTGCTAGATCCGGGACTCAAACCGCAGTCTGCCATGAGGGAGTCCATGGTCTTAACTACCATGCCGCCCGCTGGCCATGAGTTTGTTTATTTTTAACATCCATTATGCCAGAAGCTCAGGCTCCTTTCCATTGGTTCTCACAAAGTATGCTGCTCTGGGTGGAGCAGGCTGACTCTTCAGTTGAATGCACTTAACTTTCTCTTTGGCTTCCTTCTTTTTCTGGTCATTTTCTTTCCCACGTTTTAGGAAGCTATCTCTGCTCTTAGAATGCTTAATATGCTCAATATGCACATTAATTCCCTTGGCAAGAATCTTGCCCTTAACTTGTTTACAACAATACCACCAGCATGCTGGGTAACATTGTAGACTCTTCCAGTTTTGCCATGGTAACATTTGCAGGGCATTCCTTTTTGAACAATACCCATTTCCCTTTATGTCTACAACATCTTTCTTGTAGATTTGCATGTATGTTGCTAAAGGAACCACTCCATGTTTTCTAAAAGACCTAGAGAACATATATTGTGTGCCTCTCCTCTTTCCTTTTGTGTTTGTCATTTTGGTGAATTACTGGAAGATGGCGGGTTCTGCCAAAAGGTACACGTGCAATCTCACTCTCAAATAAAATTTTATTATAGATTTATCTTTACCTATTACTTAATTCCGACAGCATGTAAAGCTGTCTAATTCTGGGGTTTGGTATTAGGTAACTCTCTTGCTTAATGATATAAATTACCCTCTCTAACACACATCTGATCATTAATAAAGGTGGCAGATCTTCCATCTGCTTTACCCTTAGTCTTCCTTCATCAGTTGGTTCTGAGCTTGGGTTGGGAAGTACGGTGCAATTTATTGGAATCCCCTTAAGCATTCATAATCCTTCTGAGCCCAGCTGCTTACATCCCAGAAGGAGAAGATAGGGTGCTTTCTGTGACCAGCCTCAATGATTTGATATTCCCGGAATCCCCTGAGGCCTTGGCGGAACATTTTACACACTCGGATCATCACTATGATATCCATGGCGAGCTGGTACAGCCCCTGAGGAAACAAAGCAAACAATATCAATGAAAATCATCTGTGCTCAACAGTCAACAGCAGGCTAGTTAGTGCTGAACAGGTGAAATTTAATAGGATTAAATGCAATGATGTGCTGGAATAATGGTTACATTTTCAGGAAGTCTGCAAGTCTGTTGAAATTATATTGGCAGCTTGAAATTAGCCATGCTGAGAGTATTTATGCCACAGAAATTGGCAATTACTACAAATCAGAGCTGGCCCCCACCCCGGTAAGCAGTTGTTAAATATTAACCAGCACAAAACTGATTAAAAGTCAAACCCTTCTGGGAAGGCCAGCAGGTGGCGTGGTGGTTAAAGATGCTAGACTCCCATGTGACTGACCACGGTTCAAGTCCTGGACCTGGCAATTCTCTCTCTCTGTGTCTCACTCTGGTCAAATTTAAAAATAACAATAATGATAAAGAAAATAATTCTTAAAAAAAAAAGTCAAGCCCTTCTGGGGGCCAGCAGATGGTGTAATAGCTATGTTGCTGGCCTCCCACTTAGTCATTGGTTCAAGTCCCAGACAAGCAGCTTAAATCTCATGCCAAGTGCGTATGTATGCATGTCCAAAATCCCAAGAGAAGGATTTCAACGTGGCCCTCTTCCCTTGGGGGTGACTTCTCTCTTTTTGTCTCTGGCAAGTACATATAGCCTATGATAAAAATATCTCTCTCAAAAAAAAAAAAAAAAAGGTGAAGTCCTTCACTTCACTTCCATCCAGAACATAAAAGACACGAGCAACTGTAGGCAGTGTGGAGATGATGAAAAGAACCTAAATTTTGGAAACAGATGGATCTGAAGGAAGTATGAGACAGATGTAACATTGGTGGCTTTGAAGATGGAGGAAGGGAGCCACAAGCCTAGGAATGTGGGTAGCTTTTAGAATAAGGCAGGCAAGGAAATGGATTCTTCCCTGCAGCCCTGAAAAAGAATATGGCTCTGTTGGCACCTTAATTTTAGCCCAAGGAGACCCATGTCAGACTTTGTTAGTGTAAGATTATAATGGGTTGTCGGAAAAATCATGATGCATTTTTGTATAGAAAAATAGGCCAAGACTTTTCTGATGACCCAATAACTTTGCATCTTTTTAAACCACTAGATTGTGGTTACTTGTTATAGTAGCAATAGAAAATGAATGTAATATCCAAGAAAAGCCACCCTAACTTTTTACTGGTATTTGGCATTGCGACTGGTAAATCAGCCTCTTTATTTTTGTTTGTTTGGAGAGTTTTTGCTGTAGAGCGTGTGGGCTTGCCAGAACGACAGAGAGAGACAGACAGAAAGCAAGAAATCACCCCCCAGGAGGATGGCCATGCCGCAATCCCTTCTCCTCCATTCCCCTCTCAGCATCTTGGGTACGCATGCACACACGCCTAGCGCGAGTTTAAGCGATCAGGTCCAGGACTCAAACCGCGGTCGACTACGTGGGAGTCCAGAGACATAGACATTACGTCAACTGCTGGTCCCAGCCTCTTGATCCCAATGTGAAGTTGGGAATAAGGGCTGCCACCCTCTACTAGCCAAGTAAATACAAGGGACGGGGAGAAATCCAGAATGTAGAACAATCTACAAGTCAACTAACTCAGTTTCTTAAAAAAGTCAATTTCATGAGAAAAAAAAAGGTATGGGAGTG